GGGGGGGGGCATCAGTGGGTAGAGGAGGTGACCAGGTGGTTATAAATATCTATTTGGTCAGTTACTGGAAGGGAAAATGTGCAGTTTGTTTGTCATCCACTCATCCAGGTGGTGGGCCTGGTGGTTGCAAAACATCAAGACAGGGGGAGAGAGAGCAAGAGAGAGAGAGAGAAAGAGCAACCTGTTTAGACTAATTCTTATATGAAAGCCACATGTCATCCTCTAGTGTAAACCTGCAGTAAGAGAAAGCTCTTGGCAAGATCTGGTTGCATATTTAACCTGGTAATTATTCTGGTCATACACATTACCACAAAGGGAATTATCCTTGCACTTATGATTACGCAATGTTTGAGCAATTTCTTAATGATTATTACCAACATGAGAATGCTCATGTGGAGTTGACTATAATTTGGGGGGGGGGGCAATTTTCCATAATGCAATATATAAGTAAGCAACAAAAATGACAGAAAGAAGTAAAACACATTTATGGTTTTATAAGACAATGTGTCGTGGCTCAAATAGTCTTCATATGCTGCTTTTATATGTCTCTATTGCACTCGGGAAATCCACAGTTCCTCCGGAAGCTGATTCTGTGCGGATGCCCCCCCTTTTACAACCACCTCTCAAGCCTATAGGGGTTGTTAATTTGATACTAAAAAGACAGAATTTGGGTGGAGTAACACTTTAATAACTCACATTGTGCAAGTAGTTGTTGATGGCCAGAAGAAAAGAGTGCAGAGGGGCGGGACGAGCTTAAAGTTTAATTCCCACTCTGCAGTAAATTAGAACACAGCAGGGTAATGTCTGTTTATTCCAAATACAGCTGCATGGGCCTCTCTCCTATCTCTCTCTGTCTCTGTCTCTCTCTCTCTCGCTCGCTTCTCTCCCCACAAACCGCACCACGGCCCCAGGATCACCTGGACCAGCAGTATACACACACAAGTATTGCTAAACAAAACACACATTGTGCAAACACGCGCACTCTGCCTAAATAAACAGGCGCATACATGCACGCATAGGCAGATACAAACTCACACTGCACTGATGCACTCTCATACAAACACACCAGTTAGCACTATAACAGATATATTATAATCCATGTTGGGAAGTAGCCAGCAGTCCAAATAGTTCAACTCCTTTTTCTTTTTTTTTGCTGTTTTCATGTAGTTAACCACTGAAATGAAAAGCTATTGTGGGCCATAAAATTATTATTATTATTTTTTATTTGCTTTAGCATTAATTCTCTGATGTAATCTAACTGTCTTTGACAACCCCCGCCCTCTCCGCCTGTTATGATACTGACCATAAAGGCATGAAGACATGCCCAGGCAGTGCATCTTGGCAGACACCACCACACTATGTAGAACATGTGCAAAAGGGCAGGCACTAAGTGTTCACATAGTGAAGATGTGGATGAATGGGTAAACTCCTCAAAAGTATTGCTTACTGCTGGGCTATTCATTAGCAAATGTTCAGAGAAGCCATTGAAGAGAAGTTACCTGGCTAGAAGGACATGCTTGCCTGATGGACATAGTACAGAAAACTAAAACTAGGATTCCTTTCGTGTTCCTATAAATAAATAGGTGTTTGATTTTATTTCTTTTGCATTTATTGCCCTGCAACATGGCCAGGGTGTGCCCCATCCCTTGGCTGGTGAAAGCAGGGATCCAGCCCACCAATTCCCCTGAATTGCATAAGCATTTTAAAAAATGGATGAATTTATTTCAGGTTGTAATTTTGTTTGCCTCCACTCTGGTAACAGATGTGGCCAGAGGCCTTGTGCATTCATCTCATTCTCATCAATGTGATATCTGTTTTTTTAAAGAAAAAGAATGAAGCTAAATTTTAAAAAAAAAACAAAAAACTAAACTAACAGCATGGTACCAAGATTTCTGATTAGATACATTTAGCTTTAAGACTGACTTGAACTCAGGGATGAAGTGAACTCAGGGATGAAGTGATTAGAACTGATGGTCAAAGGTCAGGATCACTGATACTTTATATTATTAAAAAGAGATATGAACACCATACCTCTAAAAGATATTCCCACATGTATTATTTTGAAGATGGTGGTAGAGATAGCTGTTGACACATTGATGCAAAAAAAAAATAAAAATCATATATAGGTGTTCAAAGGACTAGAGATCTGATGACTGAAAGACAGTCAGCAGGCACCATTTTTGTTGTAATTACTTTATTAACCTATATTTTGCACAGACACCAAATAAGGCAACATCTGAACTCAGAGTCAGTGTAAATTAGCATAGACTTGTTCAGAGTGATGACCTGATGGTCCTCTTTCAGGATAACAATGGCCCCATCCACAAGGCACGAGAGGGGTACAGAATAGTCTGATGGATCTTAAAATTAGGTGACCTGCTATGTCCTTTTCAGTCACCAGATCTCAAGTCATTTGAACACCTATATATGATTTTTTTTTTTTTGCATTAATGTGTCATATGTGTCAGACTTTTAAAGGGCATTCAACACTGTCAACTGTTTCTATTAATATGTCCCTATAATAGTTAATTGTGTATAGAAATGTGTTTTGAAAGTGTAAACTTGCAGTTCCTTAAACAGTTCCTAAAGCGGTGATATTAGGAATCTCTTTAAAATGAACAAGTCTTTACTGTCATCTAGTGGGAATTAGAGCATTGTCACGATCATTGCAATAGACTCGTGCCCAACGGCTATTATAGGTTTCTATCTCCATCTAGTGCACGATAAGAACAATTCAGTTTTTAAACAGAGGGCGGAGTGACGTAATGTTCTCACAGTTTCTACGTGCGCGTTCATGGATCCCGTGACCTGCTGTCAAGCACACGCATGCTAGCGCACTACGCGAGATTTGTTTGTCAACGAATGAATCGGAAATTCCACAGTGACCCGGAACACTCAAAGTATAGTGACGGTAATATTTACTCTTGTCAAGCAGCGTTACAGCAAGTCGATAACAGGAAAGTGGTTTGACATGTTTTTATTTCACTTAAAGGGCAAGAAAACTCGTTTCTCGTTTTATCGCTGCAGATTCGCTAATACGCAATTCTCCGAGTTCTCCAGCCGGTATTAGCTTAGCCAGCTAGCAAGCTGGGCTAACAAGGTGATGTAGCGACCGCTGTGGTGCGCTCAGGAAATGTGATGGAAGTTGGTCTAGGCGTGTTTCTTTATGAAAGTTTCATTTTTGGACTAATATGAAGCCTGACGATAGCTGCCGCGGAGCAGTAACCGCTTTCTGAAGGTGCAGTGAGCACAGCGCTGAGGTCGGGTTTCTTGGATAGTTATGAGCAGCATCAACATTACAACCAAAATCCCTCAATTAAGCTCTTTTTATACTAAAAGGTCAGCGCTGACACTACCGGCAACAAAGAGTGAGTTTTGAGAAGCGATGTGTTTTCGTGCTGTCACGAGATGAGTCTCGACGATGAAACACTGCAGGCTGGGATGTCCTCAGTCCAGTCGGGACTGGAAGGGCAGCTGCCGCTTTTACACGCCAGACATCACAGCGCTCAAGGCGGTCTGGTGTTGGATCTGAACTCCCAGGAAGACTACCTCAGCAGTAGCTCTCCTGAGTATGACAACTATGAGAATAACACCGGTCCTCTGTTCGAGAGAAGAAAGAGATCTAGATCCAACAGCTCCAGACATAGATTCAACGAGGTGGTCACGGAGCTCGGTCCGGAGGAAGTGCGGTGGTTTTACAAAGAGGACAAAAAAACTTGGAAGCCCTTTTTGGGCCACGATTCACTTAATATTGAGCTAATGTTTCGGAAACACTGCGAGCTGAACCCCGGTGCAGCATGCCCCCAGGCCAGTGGAAGAGAGGAGGAGAGCGGGTCTAGAGAGCTGGAGAGCACAGGGATGAACGGTGCAGTGCCAGCAGAAACGAGGACCAGCAGTGTGCACGGAGGCCGCGGGTCCTTGGACACATCCACCGTGTCCTCTGATGAGAGGGACGCTGAAAGCATTGAACTCAATGTAGAGTCAGTGTGTGTGCGAGGAGGACTCTATCAGGTTGATATAATACAGAGACAATGCTATCCTGTCTACTGGAAACGTAAGTATAATCACCCCAATGCAACCCAAATTAAATCACCTCTGCATCAGTCACATGTAAAGTAGCTCCTGGTAGAGAATAAGAAACACAACTTCTATTAGTCAAACCTCACGTAGATGTTATGAAAACTACAGAGATCTGCAATATATTAGCTTACAAAACACTTCACACTGTTCTGTAAAAGGTTCTAGTTTAAATGTTAAACCTGTAGCTGAGTATACATTTTCTGTAGACTGCATAGTTGTCTTTTCTTTTTTTTTGTTTTCTTGCAAGCTAAGTACTTCATCTGGCCTTTTTTTCTGGATGTCAGTGTATTGAGCTCAGCTGATCTGCATTAACTAATTCGTGGATATTTCCAGGAAAAGGCAGGGAACAAAGGAAGGCAGTTGCTATAGAGCTTCGGAAAACCTGACCTGAATGAATAGGGTTCATGGTTAACTGGGTCTTTTGAAGCTTAATTTCAAATGACATTTACAGAAGAGGTTATTTTCACAGTTGTTGATGCTGTGGATGCATTGAGACCCTCTCTGTACTCTTTCAGTGTGGTCTGACGGCTACGTTAACAGTTAAGAATGTGAAATAGATACTAAAGGAGGACGTTTGAATAGTCATCCAAAGCATATCAGTTCACAAGTGAGAGATTAGTTTACACAATGGAACATGTATAAAGGTCATTGATATACTATAAGATAGAAAACATCAGAATATTTAGAAAATAAAAAAATAAAAATCAAGGTTGTGTTAAATAGTTCTTAGCTTTAGTTTGGCATATTGCCGACAAGCCTAACAAACTTACTTGACTGAACTGTACCTACTGTCAGTCTATGTGTCTACATTAGCTTTAGAACACTTTGTCTTTAAATAGAAATAGACAGACTTTGAACAGGCTCACTCTATAGAGAGAGAGAAGTTCTCTTTCTAAGGCAGCCTAATTTAAGATCCTACACTCTTATTCACCACCAGAGAGTTACTTAATGATGTCACTCAAGACTGTAATCAAACATGGCCTCTCTGCATTAACCACTGAGACTTTGCCCCCCAGGATTTGTCAGACTTGTTGAGTTACAACGAAAGGATTCAGTTTCCAGAAACTGACTTACTTTCATTTCTACTTGCTAAATAAAACAATATATTTATTCCTTGCCAAAAATTGAAATTTCATGATTCCCATCCATGCAGGAGCTATTTGTTTTGTTTTGGATTTGATACTAGATAATGGCTGTTGTCCTACAGAACAAGACCATATCCCAGTGATGAGAGGCCAGTGGTTTATCGATGGTACTTGGTTGCCATTAGATGAAGACGAAAGCGACCTCATCGAACGGGAGCACCTTAACCATTTCCGTGGGCAACACGTGCAGGATACCTTTGAGATGGATTTGGTTCCCAGGACCATTGATAGTAAAGATGGTGAGCTCTGGGTTAGGGCAAGGGCAGGACAGCCTTAACCTTGGTGCAGTAAATTCTGTAATATAAAGCGTTTAAAGACAAAAATGCGTTAAAGAACACAGCACTGAAGCATCCATTCTTATAACTAACACAATAAATGAACTTATTAACTAGATCATAGCTTAATCTGATGCTGATTGTTGCATTAGCCAGAATGTCGTTGAGTAATAACCTTCCAATGCATCTACTGATGACTGCGAATGCAAGTGAGAAGATTAAATGCTCTCATAGCCATTGCTGGTTATAAATTCCTTTAAAAAGTAAGTCAGTGAAAAACGCATCAAATCTGTGAAACAGTGAAACTAGAATAAAAGTAACCAGAGTCATAAATGAGCAATTTTGAGACAGCTCAAAATTGCTAGTGTAGATGCACGTTCAGTTGAAATGAATGAGGCAGGTGTGTCCATTCATGTGGGTGTAGGTTTTGTCATGTCACCCTTCTAGTATATAGCAGGTGCAACTCGTACGTTCTGGCTGGTCCTCCTCTGAGGGCTGGCTCAAGCGAAATGTAGCAGCATTTAGCTGTGAAAGGCAATAAGAAAGGGGTTCTTTGATTCAGCAGTCTCCTTTACGCAGCCAGATCTACAGGACCTTCACTGGTGATAAGTGTGTGGGTGTGTGATAAATAGAGCAAAAGCAGAGAGAAAAGCATGCAGCAGCTGATAAAGATGGTGGGAAAAGTTTAGTCTTTATTGTAAAAACAAGACTCACAATATCACCAAGGTAATCTGGGACTTGTGTACTACATTGCATACCTTGCTTCAGTCTTAGTGACATTACATGTCACTATTTTTCTTCAATTTTTATTTAATCTCAAGACATATAAGAGAAAACGATATAAAGTCGCTCATGTTTGACACGCATTGTGTACACGGACGCTCAGAGATTTAGAAGTATATGGATGCAAGTGTATAAAGTCTTAGTGGAAAGAAGGCTCAAAGTCCAGTTATTTGCAAGGTGAGAGAAATAATGTACAAGGCCACACAAATTGGTTTTGTGACACTTGGCAGACTCTCCATTACTCAATGCGCAGATCATAAGACTTTAACTTGTCTAATGTACTATTGCAAGGGAGAATAACCTACTCACCCTTTGAAAGCCATACGTAAGATATATAGGTTAATAAAACCTAAAGAACCATCATTTGCATGTGCATTCATGGCAACGTTCAAGATCTGCATGGGGAAAAAAAAAAAGTATTTTCCTCTTATATTTGTAAAAGCATGAAGGGAAAGTGAATGGTAGCTCCTGATAATTCACCTTGTTGTTTGAGTTCCTCCTTCAGGCAGCTTTTAAAGAAATATGTTTTATCTTGAAACTAATCATTTGAAGCCCTGACAACATTAAGGGCTAGCACCACGATCTATAAATGCGTCATTCAATAAGGCAGCAATCCCTGACAGTACTGCAGTAAATACATTCCCCAAGATATCGCTGTCTCCTTTACCTATTGCTACTATTTTCATTGTGTTCCCTAGCCTAGACTAAATGTTAGTGCAGCAGAAGACATGGTAGGCATACCAGTATGCTCTGCAGGTACATTGTCATCAGTGTGGTGCAAGTGCAAAATATGGGCTGATATACTGCTTCTGCTGGTTCTTCTTAAATAATAAACAAGGAAGAGTTAAATCTGATGTGTCACCCATGCGTGATATGGTGTATTTTATGAAGTGAAGATTCATTGTGATTTTTACTGTTATAGAAAATTAAACAATGGCGTCACCCCCTATTTTTTTTTAATTTTTATTATTGTTACCGTTTGACACTTTCTTCAAGGAGTGCCTGCTGTCATTCGAGTCTTAAGCTGACAGGAATCGCAGATGGTGATCACTGGTGTAAGCCAGTAGTAAAAACTATAGGGCGTGTCCAATATGTCAGCCTTAAAAGACGTCAGGGAAAAAACAAAGCGTGCAGGCTGGACACTGTGTCATCTTTGAGCAATGCAGTGTGTGTCGTTTGACGTAGGCAAGCCTCATAAGTTAGTTTGTGTGCTGCATATTCTGCTACATTTTATTAAACACCATGGGATAATTGATGACTGATACATACTTAAAAGAAACAAATTCACACTTAATAACATAGCGTACATTTGACAGATGTATGGTACTGACTTGTGCTTAGGATACAAACAAAGAAGTCATTTGGCAGGAAGAGTCAGGTTTACAGTGTTTACATTCACAGACTACTGTAACAAAGAGTTGGTAAAGGGATTTGTTTTATCTTATCCGCAAAGATAGTTTTATATTATATGATGCAGAACAGATGAAGGTTATCAGTTCACTGTGACCTGTTTGGACTGCTTCCTCTCATACTCGGTATCTCAATCATAAGGAACCACTTAGTTATGAATGGATCCATCAGTGCTGTAATACCCAAATGCACATTACTGGTAGCTTTTATAACAAAACCCTCCCATATACTCAGCAGTTCTGTCCTCCACAGCTTTTCACCTCTACCAGTATTTGCAAGTCTGATGTCTGTGTTGTCTTTGATTGAATGTTTTAGTGAGACATGTCTTGTGCACTTGCTGATTTGATTAACAAATTTGAGAAAGCCTACATGTTTGTGGAACTGATTTTGTCACGTAGCATTTTTCTTATTAATTAGAATACTAGCATAAATTTAGTAATAAAATCAATAGAGAAAAAATTACCCAGTCATGATAAAATATTATGAATAACCAAGTTTTAGTTTCTATCGAACAGTTGACATAAGTGTGTGGTTTTACATGGCTGTTTTCACAAGCTGACACTCATTTATTGAAGGAGAAAATGAAATTAGATCAGTCATCCAATAAGATATGGCAGTAAATTATCCTCATTCTCACCACTTCTAAGCGCTTGCAATTAAACTAAAACACCTACTTATCTCTAACTAATTAAATCCTATACAAAGCAATTAGATTATTCACAGTGGAAAGAAATACATCTTCTAATCTGTGCTCCTCCAGGTAAGAGAGGCATTGGAGATAATCTCCCAGATACTTATTCAGAGCTCTTTGTAAAAATGTAGTCAGTAGGTTGGTTTCAGCATCACCTCCTCAAAATGGTTATAAATAGGAACATATGAATTATTCATTAAGTGAAATGGAAAAATAAGTACTGTTAATGCTGTTAGACATGAACTTATGTAGTACACGTAAACAAAAAGAAATAATGGGGATTTGTAGCCTGTATAGTCAGAGTCATGCCATGTGTAGATATTCTCTGTACTTCTTTGATAAGTGTAAAAATATCGTCTATAGCACATGTCAAACAGTGCTGCATTTTCGGCCTGAAGGCTCACAATAAGTTCGCGTTGTATCAGGACATTTCCTATAGCCACCAGGTCGCTGCGGTAACCAGCGCAGACTCTTAGTCTGTCCTGGTTAAAGTGGTAACCTGACTGCAGCACTACTTGATAGAGCTACTTGTTCAAGAGTGATGACAGCAGTAGTCTGTGTGACACCAGGGTAATGGCCATTACTCACTCACTGTTGGTTGTTAGTTCTCTCCCACCTGCCCCCTTTCTACCTCCCTTTTCTGTTCAAATGGAGTGGATATCAGACGAGTACTAAACCTACATGTCACAAGCGCAAACGCTGCCAAGGTACTGTAAAATACAATTTTATTTTTTCTTCTCCCTAAAAAATCTGGTGTATTAGATCTAGCTTGTATCCCCTTCTTATAGCAGCTTGGTCTCTTTGAAACTTGAGTTTTCTTTCTTGTGTGGTTCAAACTTTTGAAATAATTTGACTATTTAAAAACTAGACCTAGGCTCAGTTAGCAGTTGTTTTAAAGGGAATTTAGGCTGCTTTCTGTGCTGCAGCCTTAACTGGGCCTAGTTGCTAGAACATCTTCCTTTGTGCATATACTTAAGAGTTTTGTGCTATAGTTGTTAGCATTGCTGCTTTTTGGGGAATCCTGCATATGTGTCTTTCATCTCCTTGCTGGAATAGTGAGTAGACAACAGGGTTCACTCAACTACCAGAGCAAGATCCCTAATGCCAGTAGACATGGAATAAATAAGCTAGTCTTCAAAAAAGCCTTTTGAAGGCTTCTGCTGTCTTTTAAAAAAACAAAAACGAAAAAACTCCTTTCCTCTCCATTTCTTACTCACTCTTTCTTTGCTCTCTTTATCTCAGTCCTCTGGCAGTATGACTGTACCATTAATGAATCACCATCATAAGCTCCCACTTTAAGGGCCATGAACAAAGCTATTTGTTGAGAGCCAAGCACAATTGATGAGCCAAACAGAGAAGCCATTTATGAACAGTTACTATTATAACCCTTAACAGCTTCTTTCAAGTCCATCACTGTCCTAGTTCTGGATTTATTGAATAGAGAAGTCCTGGGCTCTGTGTCCTCATCTTCTAGTAAATCTGAAGCAGCCGATCTAAAGCCTAGCTGCTATATTACATGAAAATTGGATTGTCTTTGCTGCTCTGAGGTGGCCCTGGATGAAAGGAATCTGTTATTTTTGTCAAGACATAGTCAAGAAAAAAGTTGAAACTTTTCGTCAGGAACAAATGTCACAGTCCCAGGCCAGTTTATTTCATTTTATTTCAATTTTGCCTTTTATTCTTATTCCCATTATTTATTTTTTACCTCTCTCCAGATTTGAGATTCTTGCATACATGAAGTTTCTTTCTTCAAGAGTTTCCCCAGTTCCTTCACTCCTTGCCCATCCCTGTATAACAAATACTCTCATCCTGTGTTTCTTGGTAATTCTTGACAGGCTGTTAGAGATCTAGCTCAGTGAGTTCTTTTTTTGGGTTGTCTGTCTGTCCCTGTGTACATTTTGATCCCCTCCTCTTTTACCTTCATTTCCTTACCTGCTGCCTTTCACTGTAAAACAGGAAGTGTTATTTTACAGCACTAAACATCAGTCAACAATTTTCACTCAAACTTTTGATATTAATAAAACCAGTAAAGTGGAGAAGTTAGGCATACTTACTAGTTTTTTCCTGTTATTAAGTATCTCCTGTTTTACTGTGGATTTGGCTACAGATAAGTCTCAACAGTTTGAGTTGGCCTCAAACTAGTTTGTTTAGAACTGTGCAGCTCTTATAGCAAATGCCACCCTCCTTTTCACCTGTATGGTGTCTTCTGGGTACAGAGATATGAGGTAAGGAGTCTGTTTGAGATGAAACCAGCCTGGTTGGCAAAAGGCGCTCTTCTAAGAAGAACTGCTCGTTTCCCTTTCTTGTTGATTACTGTCAGTATTTGGTGATGCAATTTTAAAATGACCGGAAATATATGTGACAGAGAAAACTTTCTAAGAATTGCCTCAAATGGAAAGAATGTCACAACAAACTATTTTTTATCTGCCAAATAAAAGTGACAACCTGTCACTTTGCCTGTTCTTTTCAACAAACGTTTCTTTTTTTCAATCTCTACAAGCTATCCTCATTTCTTAGAGGCAGTCATTCAGCTTGGGACTGGTTACATTCAAAGTGAACAGGTCTTTAGTACAGTTTAATAAGGGCTTGTCATCACATTACCCATAAAGCAAACCTACCCACAGTGAAAGTATCCTGCCAAGCAACAGTAGACCAGTTTAACAGATGCATCAGCACATTTTTAAATTCAGGTGTATTAGAGGGAGCTGATAAATTCTCAAATTTATTGACAGATGTCTTATTTACTATTTATCTTTCCATTTTGTTAGGAATGTTTAATTAATAAAAATATGGAAATGATGCATAGTTGTGACACATGTTCATTTTTTTCAGTACTCTGTTATTAAGTAAAAACTGCATTTAAATTTTAAGAAATTTGATTCTCTGCGTAATAGTAATGCAGTTCCATTTTTTCCCCAGGGTTTGTGTGACCATATTAAAGAGTTTGAAACTAGAGAACACAATCTGGAAAATGGCATTTTTCCAAGTACTATACTTTTTTGTTCTTAAGGGTTTTAATTCCCAGTTTGGTTCCAAGCAATGTGAAGAAATGTGACCTTCAGCTGCTGTACAATAGTGTGTGAACCAGACAATAGACTGTGCACTGGACCAGTGCATGAGTTTTCCACCAGTCTTGTTCAAATTAATTTGATTGCACAATGCACTTAAAGGACAGAGACATAAATAACTGTTGAGTGAACCAGTCTCACCTATTGCTCTTAGCTTCTGTAGCAAATGGTGCCTGCTCTCTAGTCTACCTCTGCTCTTACTTGCTCTAGTCACTGCATTACACTTTGAATTGAGAACCAGGAGGAAAAAAAATAACAGTAAGAGAACTAAATGTAGATATCAGTACCAAATATTTCTTCAGCTGATGATGCACAAGGAGGGCAACAAGCCAGAGCTGAAATCTGCAAACATAATTTGTGTTGGTTTGATGTGTTTTTCTGTCTGCAGATCAATGCTCTGTGCTGCATTTCATCAAGCCGTTAGACTAGTTTGTTCCTACTTTTGCTAATTTGCACCACATTCCTAATTACTGCTTTGTAAATTTGATTTATTTTGATTTTTCCTGTTACCTAAGTTTTCCTTCTATCTCCCCCCCAAGACCAATCTCCTTGTGTCCTGTCTTTCCTCTAACTGTTCATGTACTCACTCCTCTCTCTCACTGCCCCCTGCAGCAATCCATAGTCTAAAGCTGAGTCGATCACATGTGGATTGGCACAGCGTGGACGAGATCTACCTCTACAGCGATGCCACAACTTCCAAAATTGCAAGAACAGTCACCCAGAAACTGGGCTTCTCCAAAGGTCTGTAACCACTTAAGGTTTCCTTTATTTATTTACTAGCATTTCTGATGAAAGCACGGTACAGAAACCCATCATATCTGCTTAAATGATTTCAAACTACAATTACTAGCATCCCTTGACTTTACATGCA